GAGCACACAAGACTAACCGACTTGTGCTGTGTGCTCCCGACCCTTGCGCTGTGTTTCGGCTTCGGCCCCCGGCTCTCGCGGCCCACAGTGTAATCTAAGTCATACATATGCAAATACAAACGTGAATACAAAGAACGGAGGCATTAGAAGCAGTAGCCATTCCACTCGACAGTGCCCGATTGTGGCCCTGTCACCAACACCTCTTAATCGCGGTCATCTTCAGCATTAGACCTTCCTTTCCGCCTGCTGCTGCTGCTGCTGCTGTCAGTAACCTTGTTGCTGATAACCCCGTTGCGTTTCTTTATTGGCCAATGCTGATGGTTGTACAGGGATCACCTTTTGGACGCCGAAACGTTTCGCCTGCTTCAATCGTGCGATTGAGGAAAGCGGCACGCACCCACCCACGCACACACACACACACACACGCCTGTGGAGGGAGGACCACTCGGATGCGAAGTGGACGGACAAACGGACGCACGGTGGAGACAGTGAGGGGCCCAGAGTGACGAACGGGCTGGCTGGACAGCCGCTGCTACTGCTGCTGCCGCCGCCGCCGCCAGTGAGAAGAAGCTCCCGGCGGCTTTCCTCGGTGATTCCCCTCCCTTGCCACGTTGTCAGCCACAAATTCTACCACACATCTGTCCACGAACCGTCCTTTGCGGACCCCGCCCTCCCGCGCTCTCTCTCCCCCTTTCGCAGCCCCTTTGCGGCCGCGGCACTCACCGGGGAAGGGGGTTCAGCCTGCGATCGGGCTGGAAGGTCGAAAAGGGTGCTTCCGAAACCCGGGAGGGCCTCCTCCCCTCCACCTGACCACCCGGATGGCGGTTAATACCGTTAATGTACAGCGGACCGCATCATTGGGAACGAAGAATGGTGTACATGTGTGTGTATGTATGTGTGTATGGGAGAGGCGAATCACACCTGCGCGCTAATAGGCTTGTTGGGTGCAGAGCACACGCACCCGGTGTGATACCCGGCTCGCGGCCGCCAAGCGTGTGTGGTTGCATGCTGGGGTTGCCGTCGGGGAGAGGTACTGCGTGTGCCGGAGATTAGGGGTGCGTGTATGTGCACATACATACATACATACAAGTGTGCAGATGCAGCGCATGTGCGCGGACGGTCGCGTCTTTGGCGATTTGGAGGAAGGAGGTGGCGAAAGGAAAAGGGGGGAGGTCCCGGGGGCCGTGGCGAGGGATCCGTTGGGGGAAGTGGAGTCGTCGACGGCGACAGAGCGGCGACTCTTGTGATGCCTTTGT